GATCCTAGCCTTGGCGGATTACTGGAGGCAACAAAAAGTCGAAAAAAGTCAATTCTGCTCGCGACTCTGGGGCCGGACAGGGCTGGGTACTTGGGACTCTGGGGTGGCTACCAGGGCCACCAGGGACAGGGCTGGCTTGGGGCTGAAGAGACCCTGGGACAGTGGCTGGGGCTGGGTAGGGGTCCTGCGACTCTGGGGTAGGGGGTTGGGGCTGGCTTGGGGCTGGAAAAGGTGAAAGTTGAACAACCAAAAGGTTTCTAGAATTTTTAATAGACTGAAAGCCATAAGCCATAAGCAAAAAGGCTGCAATTTGCCTTGGCTGACTTATGAGCTTGTTACTAGTTTAGTTCAATGTTGTTGTCCTCTTTGCCTGTGTTTTCCATATATATATATATGCCGGCTTTCTTTTGCTCCTGAGTCGCTTGACTGGACATGTTTGTTTCTTTTTATTTTTTTTGAATGTTTTTTTATTTTTATTTTTTTCTTTTCTTTAAAACTTTTTTTTTGACTTTTCAATTTGACTTTTTTTTGACTTTGACTTTTCCAGTTGACTTTTTTTGACTTTTTTTAAATCAAGGATTCTGGCCTTACCATATGAAAGTTTTTTATAACCATATCGTCCTCTTCGCTTGTCTCGCTCTCTTTGAGTTTAATATGCTCAATGCCAAAGGTACCAAAGCGTTCGTTGCCTTTGCAAGTTGCCATAAGGATTCTTCTTCATTCCTGGCGTGGACTTGGGATTAATTTATGCTCCAATGCAGACTGCGTTGATGAAGGCAGCCACTTAACTCTTCGCCCTGAAGAGTTCACATGACCTCAGGTCACATACAGATACAGTATGATACAGCATGATACATTTTTTCAGGCCGCTTTTGATGTCAAGAGAACAGCTAGGGCCACCGCTCTTAGGCTGGAGGCCATTGCTTCTAGATAGTGGTCGAGAGAACACCAAGGGCCCCCCAGAGCATCCTGTTCGCACACTGAGTCACTAAGTTGTTTTTTTTGCCCTTGAGCAGCATGAGTGCCGCGCTTGCACGTGCCAAAGTGTACTGGTGTCTCCAGCAGCAACTGGAGACACCAGCAGCAACCGCATGCAACCGCAAAATACGACGTTGAGCAATGCTCAATAGTCTTCCCTGTGCATCCTTTGTCGGGCGAAGTTTGGCCAACTGGTCGGTTCCTGACGGAAAAATAACAGCTGTTTCGCTTGATAATCCGTAGCGACGGCACAAAATGTCGGAAGAAAACACTCGCAGGGGTAAAGAAAGGGAAACAAACGGTTTTGTTAGCAGGCAGGTGCTGGAATACGACACCTTTCTTGAGGTAAGGGGGCAGGGCAAGATCAAAGTCACAGTCTATCAGGATGTTCTTGCTCGGATTCGTGGCTTTTGGTTGCTTTTCTCACACCAAATCCCTTGACGCACGAACGACGCACGTCACCGAGTCGGAGAGGCAAAGTTACCTCAGAGTCTGCACCGCGATGTCATTCTTTTCAATTCCAGGCTGGCGGAGTACCGAAGGGAAAGAAGGGAAGAGTCGGGTGAATCGATGAGAAGAAGTCGGGAGAAGTTGGAGGCCATCGCTCCTAGTATGGAGGCCATCGCGATTAGGTTGGAGGCCATTGCTTCTAGGTTGGAAGGGAAAATGTCACCAAGTTTACAGCTAGCTAAGTTTACAGCCGTACCGATACCGGCACTGTTTGTTTTTGTGTTAGACCAGTAACACGAAGCTACTAGTAGCTCCAGGCCCAGCGTGTTTTGCACAGGCGCTGGACTGCAAAGGACTTGTTGGCTGCTGGTGCCATTGATGCCGCAGAGCCTTTGCAAGCAGTGCTGCACCTGGGACGCGTTCAGTTGTTTGTTCATTGGCCTTTGAATGCCTTTATATACGATAACCATCTATAACCTTTTCATGTTCCCATCGCGGCGAAAAAGGGGAGCAGAGCTGTCGGAAAAGGTCGCCGGATTGCAGATGGACATTGCAGATGGATTGCTTGTGAAGTGTCCCGAAACGTTTAGGAACCACATGAATGTTTGCGTGCGCTCCTTGACGCGCCCCCGTTTAAACACGTTTCAATCCAAGAAAGTACTTATTTCGGATTGTGACATGTAAGAATCGGTTTTCGGACCACGTTCAATGCCTCAAGTCAATATCCCTCAAGTCCTGTCACATTCAGCCTCCGGCGGCCACCGGCCACCGAGTTCATTGGAATTCGTTCATGGCTCATGGCTCCCAGGCACAAGGCCTTGCAATTGGCCACAGCTTTGCGGTCGAAAGGCCAAGGCCCTCCGCGGAAAGCGCTGCAGGGCTTAAAGCAGGGCCTCTACCACGAGGTGCCGGGCCATGCTGTCAGACCCAAGAAGCCTTGACTGAAACTCTCACCATGTTTGTGGCTCAACGATGCATCAAGATGCATCTTCATCGGTGGTTCAACCTGGTTCAACCAATTGGATGCTTCAGTGGACCTGGCCAATGAATCATTGTGTGCTATTTTGTTGAGGCCATTGCCATTGCTACTAGCTTGGAGGCCATCGCTAGTAGGTTGGCGGCCATCGCTAGTAGGTTGGAGGCCATCGCTGGCAGGTTGGAGGCCGTCGCTAGTAGGTTGGAGGCCATCGCTAGCAGGTTGGAGGCCATCGCTACTAGGTTGGAGGCCATTGCTAGTAGGTTGGAGGTCATCGCTACTAGGTTGCAGGCCACCGCTAGCAGGTGCAAGGCCATCCTCCATCGCTACTACGCAGCTTGGAGGCCATCGCTAGTAGGTTGGAGGCCATCGCTAGCAGGTTGGAGGCCATCACTAGTAGGTGTGGAGGCCATCGCTACTAGCTTGGAGGCCATCGCTAGTAGGTTGGAGGCCATCGGTAGGAGGTTGGAGGCCACTAGTAGGTTGAGGCCATCGCTAGTAGGTTGAAGCATCTGGAGGCCATGCTTGCAGGCTTGCAGGGCCATTGCTATTAGGTTGGAGGCCACCGCTGGTAGGTTGGAGACCATCGCTATACTAGCCTGGAGGCCACCGCTAGTAGGTTGGAGGCCATTGCTAGTAGGTGGAGGCCATCGCTATACTAGGTTGGAGGCCACTGCTAGGAGGTTGGAGGCCAGCGCTAGTAGGTTGGAGGCCATCGCTATATTGGGTTGGGGGCCATCGCTATACTAGGTTGGAGGCCACCGGTATACTAGGTTGGAGGCCACCGCTAGTAGGTTGGGGGCCATCGCTATACTATGTTGGAAACCACCGTTGGTATCGCTAGTAGGTTGGAGGCCGTCGCTATACTGGGTTGGAGGCCTTTGCTAGTAGGTTGGAGGCCGTCGCTAGTAGGTTGGAGGCCATCGCTACTAGGTTGGAGGCCATCGCTAGCAGGTTGGAGGCCATTGCTAGTAGGTTGGAGGCCATCGCTAGTAGGTTGGAGGCCATCGCTAGCAGGTTGGAGGCCATCGCCATACTAGGTTGGAGGCCATCGCTAGTAGGTTGGAGGCCATCGCTATACTGGGTTGGAGGCCATCGCTATACTAGGTTGAAGTTGAAGGCCACCGCTAGTAGGTTGGAGGCATCGCTAGCAGGTTGGAGGCCATCGCTACATTTATTAGGTTGGAGGCCATCGCTATACTAGGTTGGAGGCCATCGCTTTATTGGGTTGGAGGCAATGGCTATAGTGGGTTGGGGGCCATCGCTATACGGTTGGAGGTGATCGCGATGTTGGGTTGGAGGCCATTGCTAGACTAGGTTGGAGGCCATCGCTATATCGGGTTGGAGGCAATCGATTGGGTTGGAGGCCATCGCTATATTGGGTTGGGGGATGTTGGGGGCCATCGCTATACTGGGTTTGAGGCCATCGCTAAATTGGGTTGGAGGCCATCGCTATGTTGGGTGTGACCATCGCTATATTGGGTTGGATTGGGTTGGAGGCCATCGCTATATTGGGTTGGAGCCCATCGCTATACTGGGTTGGAGCCCATCGCTATATTGGGTTGGAGGCCATCGATATATTGGGTTGGAGGCCATCGCTATAATGGGTTGGAGGCCATCGCTTTTATTGGGTTTGAAGGCCATCGCTATACTGGGTTGGAGGCCATTTCTATATTGGGTTGGAGGCCATCGCTATGTTTTTGGCCATCGCTATATTGGGTTTGAAGGCATTGCTATATTGGGTTGGGGGCCATCGCTATATTGGGTTGGGGGCCATCGCTATACTGGGTTGGAGGCCATCGCTATATTGGGTTTG